TTTTTGGCCGAAAAAATCGACCATGTATAGTAAGGCGTTTTTGGCCGAAAAAAACGACCATGTATAGTAAGGCGTTTTTCGACGAAAAAAACGACCATGTATAGTAAGGCATTTTTAGCCGAAAATAACGACCATGTATAGTCAGGCTATTTTAGCAGAAAAAAACCACCATGTAGTCAGGCTATTTTAGACGAAAAAAACGACCATGTATTGTAAGGCGTTTTGGGCTCAAAAAAACGACCATGTATAGTAAGGCGTTTTTAGACGAAAAAAACGACCATGTATTGTAAGGCGTTTTGGGCTCAAAAAAACGACCATGTATAGTAAGGCGTTTTTAGACGAAAAAAACGACCATGTATTGTAAGGCGTTTTGGGCTCAAAAAAACGACCATGTATAGTAAGGCGTTTTGAGCCGAAAAAAACGACCATGTATTGTAAGGCGTTTTTGGCCGAAAAAATCGACCATGTATTGTAAGGCGTTTTGGGCTCAAAAAAACCACCATGTATAGTAAAGCGTTTTTTGGCGAAAAAAACGACCATGTATAGTAAGGCGTTTTTTGACGAAAAAATTGACCATTGGCGTTTTAAGATGAAAAAAACGTCTCAAGATAATAATAAACATTAAGAAAAAAATCATAGGATAGGTTATAAGGAGAAAGGTGTGAGATAAATGAAATATATTTTGCAATAAGAGAATATAATAAGAAAACTAATAAAGCATTTAAAATGTAACAATAAAGCAATGAAATCTCGAAGCATTCGCGGTTCCAATAATTTGCTTTGTCTGTCATTGGTGTGCCTTTCCCAGATTGATCAGGTCTTAGAAACGCTCCCGAGGTTCACCTTGCCTAATTTAGAAGTTACGATTTTTAAGTCTTAATCGGAGATTTTATCTTTATCAGTTAATTTATTCTGCAAATCAGGAGCATGCCATTTGTCTCGTGGGATATGTGTCCTTACCACTATGTGACGGCTTCATTCGAGCTCATTCTTGTAAGGATCATTTACAGAACTCCACAGAAATAGTTCTCCAGTTTACAGATAAAACTCACTGCATCTTGATTGGATCTCAAAGTTTTACTCATCATTCAAAGCAAAATATCTCAAGGGACACTGCACAACAAAGTCCCACGCTCGTTCTTAAACTAATAGCCAATACTCCAAAAATAAGCAAACACGCACGAGTACATCACAACAAGGAGACAAGTAGAACTTTATTGTGAAATGCACTGTATGTAAACCAACAAAAAAAAAATGCTGATAATCCAGTCAGTATACAGTGGCGATGACAGAAGCGCCCCCCCCCCCACACACACACACAAAATAAGTCCTTTTCTGTCTTTCTGGCATCTCATTTTAATGCTATTCTCCCTGTCTGTCTGCAGGGTAATGTGGAGTACCTGCTAAAGTGGCAAGGATGGCCCCCAAAGTGAGTAATCACTGACTCATCACTCAATGACATCATCCTTGAATATCGGCTCACATCCAACTTGAAGCCTGACCTGCGTTTCCATACGGGGGAAGGGCAAGCATGACGAATGTTAAAAGTGTGCTTGTGTGGCTGTTGGCAGGTACAGCACTTGGGAACCAGAGGACAATATTTTGGACCCTCGCCTGGTCCTAGCCTACGAGGAGAAGTGAGTGGAAATTTGTTTTGTGAAAGGCAGTGGGATTTAACTTTTTTTTTTTTCCATTGTCCTTTTGCTCACCTTTCTGTTTTTTGCTTGTGTCTTGGTGACATTTCCAGTCAACAGAAGATCAGAGCTCTGGCCTATCGCAAGAAAGGTCTCAGACCCAGAAGCCTCGTCCTGCGGGTAATGTCATCTTGACATCTACGTATTTTAATACATTTTTTCAAAGTGTACTTAATTTTGCGGCTATTCAATGAACACTGGGCCGAAAGGAAACCTGCTCTCCTTGTAAACATCCAAAGTAGTGTACTTCAATTTCCTCACATGTGTCCTTCTAGAATATCTTTGCCATGGACCTGCGGAGCGCCCACAAGGCCCCGGACAAACCTGCGCCCCGACTGCGCCTCTCACTTACCCGCGCCATGAGCACCGATGTGGACCATATCGAGCGGGGAGGCGCATACTGTCGCTCAGCGAGGAGGAGGAGGACCAAGCAGCTGGCGTCCAAGCGGAGTGCATGCGCCCGCTCGAACAGAACTGTCGGGCACCGGAGGAAGAAGACGGAGGACTGGGATGACACCAGCGAAGAAGAGAAGCAGGAGTCCCAAAGTGCCACAGAGGAGAGACGGGCAGACAGCTTATATGGTTTGTTTATCTGTTTATCAGTGGCCTCGAAGTGTGAACTTTGACCTCTATCATCCCAAATTTCTCCTTAGGAAAAAAAAGTTTATTTTTATAGCACAAGAGTGGAACTACCACTCGTCCAATTGACTGAAACTGAATTTTCTGCCCTCAAGGTCATTCTGAGTGCAGCTCACCTCCCGTACTGGAGCGACATGACTTGGAGCTGGACATGGAGGAGAACGGCCCTAAAATGTTTTCGGACCCGGAAGACGTCGACGTGGCAACGATTGCGTGCGACCAATCAAAGGACGGTGCATCGACGCTTGACGACGGAGCAGCGGATGCGGTTACCGCGGACAACGGGTCAGACGGCGACACGGGCGAGGAGGAGGGGCAGTCAAGGCCCGTGAGTCCCACGGGCGCGCACCTGAAAGATGACCTCACCTCGGCGGTCGCGGGCGCAGATACGGTGGTCCGCATTCAGAACGTTACCACGACGACGGCGACCGCTCAATCACAGCATCCTGGGAAGGTGATCATGACCGAGGTGACCATCAATTCGCTGACGGTGACTTTTAAAGAGGCCGCTGAGGCGGAGGGCTTCTTTAAGGACTGTTAAGCGAAGGCGCATCCATTCGACAACAATAATCCGACTCGCCACTCATTTTGTAACACCTGTAATTTGTCACGTAGGTAACATGTTTACATCGAAAGAAATTCCTGCTGAGAAGACATTATCGCCTTTGAATTGAAAAAAACAAATGAGTGGTGATTTTTATTACTGAGGTGAATTAATTGGAATTCTCGAGAGACAAGTAATGAGGCAGCAGTCAAACAACTCCCTTCTTCCACGCAGCTACTTTTGATTTTTATTCTTCAGTTTTCTATTTATTTTATTTTTTTGAAGGAATTCCAGAGAATCTGATAGTTAGACGCAGGTCAAACAAACTGACTTCTTCCATGCAGCTACTTTTTACTAAAATAGTCTTGAAGTGCTTTCCAGCTAGACATCACGCTCCGGTAGTGTATAGGCATCTCATTTCATTCGCCCGTCTTACAAATATGTTTAGTCAAGATTGCCACTTGGACCCGAGTTTATTTCTGTCCCAACAGAAATAAAACAAAGAGATGTAATGACTGCTGCTCATATGAAGGAGGAGGGATGCGCAAAAAAAAACGAAGCGCTGTTGTGTTTGCTGTCTGTTTGTCCGTTTTAAGTACTATAAATGCTACTTGGTTCTATTTTTGTATTACCAGTCGGTAGTCCACTCTTTACACTACTAGCCTTTGTGCTTTTCAAAGGAAGAGGTATCATTTTACACTGCTGCTGTTACGCTTTGTGAAAGTACAATAATGTACACTAAGCAGACGTACATTAGATCAGACGGTAGAGAGCCTTTGTTATTTATTGCATGTCATGTGTATAAGCTAAACTTACTGTATGTGTCTGACTCATGTCTTTTCTTGGAAAAAAAAACCGTTTTTATTTCGACTGTATTTCCAATAAACATGAACTGACTACCTTTCAGAAGGCATGTACTGTATTTGATTATCGCCACTCGATTGGTGTCATAAACCAGAACTTTATTGGTACTAATAGACATAGTTATGTTATAATAGGCCAGCATGGTCGATGATTGCTTCGCAAATCTGCCTCTGATTGCATCTTTTTGGAATTGAAAGAATGAAAAGACAAGCAGACCTTTTTTTTTTTTTTTTGGTATGATCTGACAGTCGTATATGATTAAAATGATCTGTATTGTTGTTGCCTCCCACCCCCCACCTAAAATTGGTGAGATAAAATGTATGCATTCCTTTATTTGCTATTTATCTACAGAGTATTGAAATAGTCGGCTGAATTACTGTAAACAAAAGTATTAGTAAAATATAATATTTTGCATTATGTATACATATATTTTTTTGATTAAATAACTGCTTAATTTATTTTAGGAGTAACCGAAAACAATCGCAAATGCATTTATGGTCAGTGTAGTTATTTTCATTTGTTTGAGATACATCCCTATAAATATTGATATGCAATAATAATAATCATTATTACTAATAATGATAATAAAAAAAATAATTTAATTTGGGTCAATCCGTAGTGCTAAAAACAATAAATGACAAACCAGGAGAGCGAGCTTTAACATAGCAGACGACTCAAAATAGGTTTTACGTTGTAAAGGTCATCATCTCCACTAGAGGGCGCGTTGTTCTTAGAAATCCATCCAGTCATGATCTGAGCAATTTATGATTTTTTTTTTTTTTTCAAAATGGTTATGCTGACTGGGTGCCGTTGGCCTCTCAATTAGGAGCTCCGCCGTGTTTCATCAAAATCACTTCGACTACTTTATCTGCAAGTAGTGGCCACCAGAGAGCAGGTGACCGACCGCACTGTCAGTGGATCTCAGTCGAAAGGATTAAAAGCTTAACACTGCATAACCGAATACTCTACTGAACAAGGTTACTGTCTGTGTTCCTGCTGCAAACGGTTGTGCTTGCTTTGCTTGGAGCGGTTAAGTCCTCCGACACCGAGTTGTCAATCAGTGGGCGCTGAAGCAAATTTCAATCAGTCGGTCAACTAATGGATGAAACCGAATTCACCGGAGGGTCGACTGAGTTGTGTCTCATCTTTGTCATACGAGCAGGAATAGGTCATGCTTCTTACTAAACAGGATCTGAGACAGTTGACCTAATAATGTGGTCACTTTCACTTTCAAGGTGCTCTACTTCAAAGCACAGTGACAGACGGCGGTCAAAAAGCAGCAGAGAAAAGTCAGTCATGGAAGGTGGTTGACACTGCTGAGCAGATAAAAAAAAAAAAAAAAAAAAGGTAACGACACTCCAGAAGGTAAAAGTGTTATGATAACCAAACAATCAGGGACATCGGAAACAATTTCAACAAATGACACAAGACATGAAGTCAGTAGGAAATAGTTTGATGTATTTGCGTGGAAAAACAATCACCGAAACGTCAGCAACCAACACAAGGCTTCAGCCTATCGCCATTTGGCCCAAATGTGTCCTCAGTGCACGCTGTCGCACTCATATTAGCAACGAGTCAATTGGAGAAAAAGTTGAGTTTCTTCAAAAGAAAATTTAACTCTTGAATGCTGCTCTTAAAAAAAACCTAGCTAACAATTCAGTTTGGTCTGGACATTCACAGCATTAAATGGACAAACATGTTGGGAGAGCTTGTGGCCTACCTGACATGTAGGGGGCGCTAGTTTGCGTATATGACAAAAAATGTGACACGGCTCTCATCGCTATAATATCATGCAGCGTCTCTGAGTGTTCTTCTTGCTCTTTTTGCTGCTGCGGTTGGTCTCTTTGTATCTTCTGATCTCTCTCACGAGCGAATAGAACGCTTCCTCCACACCCTGCCGGGAACACAAATGCAAAAAACGGGGTCAGGCCCATGCAGATGCGCGCAAAGGAAACGCGCTCAATGCCGTCACGGACGCGCACCTGTCTGGTTTTGGCCGAGGTCTCGACAAAGGGCACGCCGTAGCTTCGGGCCAGTTCCTGTGCTTGTTTCGTCTCGACGGAGCGTGAGCTCAAGTCACTCTTGTTACCCACCAGCACCATGGGAACGCTGTCGCTGTCCTTCACCCTGTTGATCTGCTCCCTGCAGGGCGAACACATGAGGAAAAGTTTGTCAACGACGCAAAAACGGAGCGATTTTCACGACCGACTGGGTGAGCAATTGAAAATTGTCAAAAAAAGAGATTGTATTTTGGATGGGGATGGTTTCTCAGGTGGCACGGTGAGCTAGCAGTTAGCATGTTTTTACGACAATCTCAAATTCAGATTCCCAACTTAATTGAACAGGCCCACATTTTTGAGCAATTAAGGCACACAAACACACGGCGGAGGTAATAATCACTTATCTCTTTTCCTATGTGGTCAGATGACCCACACTGTGGGACATAAAGTCACAAGCATCTAACAGCGCGTGTTACTGTCAAATCCTTTTGTACAATTTCCCAGGATGTTGAATCACGAAATAAAAAGGCATCACAAGTACAAATATAACCCAAAAAGTGAGATTAAATCTAAACCCGTCCATGGCAGTTCAGAGCCTTCGTATCAGCTTCATTTCAAGGATCACAAGACTGCAACGCTGCAAAAGTGTGAAGGTTTTGTTCTATTTTTGGTCTCTTTGCTTCCAAAGTTGCGCTCTAAAAATTTTTTTTAAATAGATAAATAGAAAACGACGACACAACCGTAACATCAAACTCAAGTTCAAATACAGATCTGAACTTATCTGCCAGGGGAACTTTCAGACTCGTCATCGCTTGAACACATTTGCATACATGATGTAGCTGACGACGCATTGCATACGCAGAGACATCCACGCGATGCTCCGCTGCTTTTACTTGAACAGTTTAAAGAGCAACTACATGATGGTGCAACACTCTCACTGTATTCATAGTTTAAAGTGTAACTCGGGGTGTACCGCTCCAAACCGTACGGAGATGAGCTGAGCTGAATGAACTGTGCCATTTGGTTGAGAAGAGACTTGACATCACAAGCACCTGTACAGGTGAACGTCCTCGAAGGACTTGGTGTTGTTGATGGCGTAGACGCAGAGGAAGCCCTCCCCCGTCCTCATGTATTGGTCCCTCATGGCGCTGTACTCCTCCTGACCCGCAGTGTCCAGGATGTCCAACAGACACGTCTCTCCGTCGATCACCACCTGCTTCCTGTACGAGTCCTGCGGCACAGAAAGACGACAGCATGCACGCTTTAGCCATTGCGATTCCGTACCTTCCAGAAGTGATTCCCAACCACTGTGCCGCTGCACCGTCGTGTCACGTGCGTGAGGGATCACCAGGAGTCACGGAAGGACATGAGCCAATGTTTTATCGATCTATGCAAGTTCCCTTCCATCTATAACTACATCTCAAAAATTGAAGAAAACCTTCGGGGTGAAAGGAAAATTCTTGGGTTGTAATTTAATTTATAAAACTGTAATCCCTCAAAGGCAATTTCCATTGACACTTTGCTGCATACACTGAACATTTTTGGTGTTGCACAACACACACATACTGTTGTGCCAAATCACAGTCATGCAGGCGTGCAAAGGAGACGTCAGAGTGAAAGTGTGATTTGACATGGAACAAGTCTTACACGGACGGAACATGTACGGCGATGAGACCCACCTCGATGGTTGGATCATATTCATCCACAAAGTGATTCTGGATGAGCTGGATGGTGAGAGCACTCTTGCCCACGCCTCCTGCTCCGACCACCACAAGCTTGTACTCGGTCATGCCTGCAAACTGACGCGAAAACAAAAGCAAATGACAGCAAGCACACACTGCGACCGCTCAGCAGACAGCCGATAACATCTGATCCAGCGCCGTGACATGGCGACCCAAATTTAACTTGGACACTCAAGTCCATGTCGCCTCTAATTTACGTCACCAGCGTAGCTGCCGAAAAGTCCGTGTTATGTAAGAACAAGGCTTACCTGAAAATATGATTTTAAGACAGCGTGTGAGTTCACAGGTCCGGAGTTCACGCGTGAATGTATGACATTAGCTTGCTACATAGCGTTAGCCTGAGGACTTTTTCCTTCCTCAAACCGCACAAAAAAAAAAAAAAAAAAAAAAAAACACTTTCAGCCCTCGAGCCCTTTCCCAGCTACAATTGTGCGTCACAACGCGAAGTCGAGATTTATGACGACGTGTTTAACTAGATCACACTTTAAAGTTGTAAAAATACGGAAGTCGAGATTTATGACGACGTGTTTAACTAGATCCACACTTTAAAGTTGTAAAAATACGACAACATCTGATTTCGCCCACACATTCAACCACTATTCGTGAATCATTGGAAAAGTCAAAATGATTGCGTTAATCCTCACGCTAAACGACCAATCAGACGCGGACTCTAAAACAGACGTTAATTTTGTCCAATTACAGCGGAGATTTTAATGTTGGTCTCGCCCATTACGAAAACAATATCCAATCATACATTGGGATTTCAGTTGGGCGTGGTCTCCCACCGCCCCATCGACCGTCACTTGTATTCGCTGTACAAGGTTTGTCGGTCCAGTGCAGTATTGCAGGATTCTGGGTCCAAGTAACGAATATTAATATTCTCCCAACGAAGCAGTAGACGTTTCGTTACAGCATTGAAGTGTTTTTTTTTTCCCCAGGCATTACTACTTTACTTAGTCCTTACCTTTTTGACTTGTTACTTGTATTCACTACTTGTGAAAATAGATAAATGTGCTCCTTTGTCAAAATATTCTCATTACTTTTCTCAACCCCGAACGTGCATTTTACAACGACGCAACAGATAATTGTATGATGATTCCAAAAACACCGTACGAAAGTCAATACAAACTATTTTGTGTGCATGGGTTTTTTTATCTGTTGTGTTTTAAAATGGATACTTTGTATAATTAATTATCAAAGTTACTTTTTGACTTCCACTTATATAGCGTTTGTATTTTTTTTTACTGGAGTTGAATCAATGTTTCTACTTTTACCATTCCTGTTTTAAACACAACTATCTATTTCTACATAAGTACCTTTGCCACGTGGACTTCTGTATTAACTGTTGCTATCCCAATTTTTTAATCTGTGTTTTAAAGTTGAATATTTATCAATTTGACACGGCGTTGATCAATAAAAACCATGCTGAAATGAGAGCGGTATGACGATCGAAAATCTTGGACGTTTACTGCCCTCTTGCGATCGTTGTGAAGAACATCAAGCACTTTGGAAATGACACACGCAGGCGCGGACTCACACTTCCTTCCGTACGCACCCACGAGCGCTTGTTTGCCATCCCGCATTGTGACGTTCATGTTGCTGCCGCACTCTCCCACTGAGTGCATCTGCTCTCTTATCTAATCTTTGCCTAAAATCGCAGCGATAATCCCGTTTCCATCTGCCCCGAGAGAGACAGAAACAGGAAACTGACATTGCTCTGTGAAAAAAAGATTGGCTATTTAAAAACAGAAAAAATGAAATAAAACAGACTGCTGACACCTGTAAAATAGCTGCTTAGGTTTAATTATACACGAGGATATTTCACATTGTACATCCTTTGTACACAAATATTTTCCACATTTTTTTTTTGCATTTTAAAATGTTTAAGATTGAATTGTTTATACACTAGTTCCCATCACGTTTCAACACATTTCATTGAGATCGAGGAAAACAATACTGGAATGGCCATAAACTGGGACAAAGAAGAAAGTAGATTACAAATACAACACTGAAAACTGAAAATGATCACATGAATAATCATTCTTTTTTTTCCCAGCATTTTGCTTGTAAAACCAAATAAACCCCTTGGAAATCCTTTGCGTTGCAGCAGTGTAATCGTGTCCCATCCAAACCGCAATTCAAGATCAGAAATGACACATTTGACCCGAAAAGACAATGACCAAATGTCGAATCAAAAATCTAAATGGATTGCTGTGTGAATACATGCAGAGCGCAGCTTTGTCAGTGCGTTTTGTGTGTGCACGTAATAAACACGCCTCCTGCCTGAGTCTCTTGGCTCCGTCTATGTGCTGGTGCAGAAAGCTCCCTGTGACTCCATTGCCCAGCTGCCATTGCATCAAGATTGCTTTCAAAGTGTGAAAACAGCTACTTTGGAATTAAACAAAAAAACAAAACAAAACACTTCACCCGAATACATAATGTTGTTGCGTCAAGTGGGTGTTGCTCTACAGAGACATTCCTGCCAAATTGTGTGCTGGCTGCTCTCTCGACACACAGCATGGCACGAGAGTGCGCTCACATCATGAAAGTACCACCTTGTGTGTGACTGTGTTAAAGGACGAGAAGGATGACGGGGGACTGCACTGCTGTACTCATTATAACATGCTCACTGCACAACGTTTCAGCACCTGGACCCAACTGACAAAACAACACACTCACGACACCACTGACCCACTGGGGCTGTCTTTCAGGAATTAGAAAGACAGCACCGATTGACAGAAGAGAAAGCTGGAAGTGTGACGGGAAAAAAAACCCCACTGGCACAAAACACGTCCTGCTTTGACTACTTTGCACCAATTAGATGACAAAATAGTCAACGACACAGCGCATTTGTCACCCGAGCATCATCGAATAAAGAGTCCGGCGTGTCGGATGATTACTCATCATATGTGCCTTGTGACCCATGAGCCTAGATGGGCATGACCTAGTTAGGTCAGACACAGGTGAGCTTCCTCTAGACACCACGTGCATCTCTATGCACGAGCATGTGCCAAAGATGCATGGTACCAATTTCATTTAAAAAAAAAAATGTTCAGAACGTTTGCAAGGGTCTTAGCCATAAAAACAGTCTGCGCGTGTGTGTGTGTGTGTGTGTGTGTGTGTGTATATGTGTGTATGTATTTCATCACTCTTCATCATGAACATCATTCTTATTTAAAACCGCTGACATGCATTCCCTGAAAGACAAAAAAAAAAGGTAGTGAAGCTTCAACATGAGATGTGAAACACAACACAAAGGACACGCTTGCTGCGCTTCCTCCTCGAGATGCAAACGGACCAATCACAGCGAGCCTCACATTAGGGACGACGTTTGAGGGCGATGAGCTGCGTTATATAAATACCATCTGTGTTTATGTATATGTCAAAATCTAACACTGCCCTCCAACTCCACACAACAAAAGAATCAAATCAACATACTCTTGTAATTGTACAAAAGTGCGCAGCAAGTTCTCCTCTTCCTATTTCCGCATTTTTTTTTTCCTTGTTTCGTACACACTTGTATCAAGTCAGTCTCTCGTCTACGTCAGCTTCGTCTCCTCCACTCCGCCGCACTTATATGAGTTGTATCCAGGCGGCTGCACATACTCCTCAGATTTATCCCAGTCCGTCACCCATCCGGCCCCGCCTCCCGCGGCCCCGCCGCCGTTTGAACCGACCGCCTGTTGACTCATGGCCCCGGACTGGCCGGCGC